CTTACCAGCAGGCCACAACCACATGACAATACATAGATGAATAGAAATGGCTTAATTTAAGTTGTGAGAGTTAGCCAGGAATATGCCTAAGCTATTGGCCAAACAGTGTTGTAATTAATAGTTTCTGTGTGATTATTTAGGGCCTGGGTGGCCATAAACAAACAAGCAGCCTCTGCCTACACGTGTGTGTTGTGAAAGTTCATGTATGTGTGGCTGTGGTGGGTGTGCCTGTCCCGAGGAAGACAATCAGATGTCTTGTTTTAAAAATCTCCCCCTGTTCCTTTGGAAAAGGTCTCTCACTAAGTCTGGAGATGGAATGGTGGCCAGCAAAACTTAGCAATAATTTTGCCTCCATCCCTCCCATCTAGAGACTCTTCTGGTCATCAGTGGGTTACAGTGCAGCCTCTCCCGATTCTCATGTGGGTGCTGTGGTCCATACGTAGGTCTCTGCTGTCTGAGAGGACCAGATTTCAGATCCCTAGTTCCCATATAAAGCCAAGAGGGCACGGCAGACTGCTGGGTATCCTAGCACTCAGGAGACAGAGAGAAGGGTCCCTCTAAGTGAGATGGAGCCAAACCAGTGAGCTCTGGGTTCAGTGAGACCCTGCCTCAGTAAGGTGGAGCGAGACTGAGGAAGACAACTGCTGCCAACTTCTGGTGTACACACACAGACATACGCCACACACAACACACACACCACACACACTACACACACCACACACAGACACACACCACATACACCACACAAGACACACAACACACATACACACACCACACACAGACACACAACACAAACAGAGACATATACACAGACAAACAACACACACAACACACACCCCACACACACCACACACAGACACACAACACACACACCACACACACCACACACCCCACACATACCACACACAGACACACAACACACACACAACACACAGACACACAACACACACAACACACACAACACACAGACACACAACACACACAGAGACACAGACACAGACACACACCACATACAGACACACACCAGACACACACCACACACACAGACACAGACACACACATACATACACTGCACACACAGACACTAGGACACACACAGAGACACATACCACACACACAGACACACAGGCACACACATACAACACACACAGAGACATATACACACATAGATACACACACACACACACAACTCAAGAGGGAGTAATAAAGGTTTTAGTTAAACCTTTTCTTATCACTGCAACTTCTATATATGTAATAATCAAAATATAGTATAATATCCTCCTCCCTTTCCCCCCTCTGTCCACACATACACTCCTTTTATTTTCCAATGACAGTGGCTCTCGTAGGTAATGCATGGCAGAAAGGCATGGGCACTGCACAAGAACAACCTTAAACTTCAAACTGTCCGTCATTTACTGACTTTCACCTCCTGACAAGTCACTTTCAGATACCTTGTGCAGAAAGGCGCAGCTTTCACATTTTTCTCTCTATTTTTTAAAGAAAATATTTGTGTATTTACTTATTTTATGTGTATGAGTGCTTTCTTGCGTGGATGTACGTAAGCACGTACGCCTGGTGCCTGTGGCGGTAAGAAGAGGGCCTCAGGTCCCCTGGAGTGGAGATGCAAGTGGTGTAGCCACCATATGGGTGTTGGGAATCCAGTCTCAGTTGTCTGGAAGAGCATTGGCCCTCCCAGTCGCCGTCTGAAGAGCAGTTGGTGCTCCCAACTGATGTCTGAAGAGCAGCTGGTGCTCCCAACCACTGTTTGAAGAGCAGCCGGTAATCCCAACCGCTGTCTGAATAGCAGCCGGTGCTCCCAATCGCTGTCTGAATAGCAGCTGGTGCTCCCAACCGCTCTCTGAATAGCAGCTGGTGCTCCCAACCGCTGTCTGAATAGCAGTCGGTGCTCCCAACTGATGTCTGAAGAGAAGCCAGTGCTCCCAATTGCTGAACCTTCTTCAGTAACGTCTCTGTAGTTATTGAAGGTTTTTTTTTTGTGGTTTTTTGTGTGTGTGTGTGTGTTTTTTTTTTTAGTTTTCATTGGCAAAGCTGTACATATAAACATCGTATAATGATCAAATCTAGATAATTAGTATGTTCTTCAGAGTCAAAGTCTTGTCTTCTGGCTTTCTTGAAATGAACAATACATTATTGTTAGATGTACTTATTCCAGAATTTATTTTTCCTCTCTGACTGTATTGAACCTGTTAATCAACTTCTCACCCACACCTCCCTGCCCTCCACGGTCCTCTGTGTGCACCTGCGAGACCCATGCTTTCAGCTTTCTGCGGAGAGCATATGGTCCTTACCTTTTCTGTGCCTGGCTTACTTTTCTCAATATAATTTTTTCCAGATTGATCCACTTTCCAGCAAGTTACAGGAGTTTACGTTTTGAAAACGGCTGAAGGGTCCTCTCTTGCGCATTTACACGCTGCCTTCTGTTCCAGTCGGAAGCGCTTGTGCATCGTGAGTAGTTAGTAGGCAGTGGGAGGGCAGACATTTGAAGATGCTGACTTCATCCCTGTGGACAGATCTCTAGCAGTCGGATGGCTGCACACCTCACTAATGGCGCCAAAGAATTCCCCTTCCTTGCCAGCCTCAGCACGCGTGTTGCTGTTTCCGTTAGAAATGGCGCTCTCACCGGGATGTGCACCTCCCTGACGGTTAGCGGTGCTGATGCTGGCATTTTCTCGTGCTTGCCTCCTTTGGGGAAGTGACTGTTCAGTTAAGGTCCCCTTTTACTGTCCTTGCGGCAGTATTTTCCTCTATTCCTTAGGTTTTCCTTCACTCTGTTAATTACTTCCCTTGCTGTGCAAAAGACTTTAGTTTGATGTAACCCTATTTGTCAATTTTGGGCTTTGTCCTATATGCTTTTGTCTTTTTTAAACATTTAGGCCTGGGAGGTGGGCCGTTGGGTAAAGATGCTTGCTGCCAAGTCTTACTACCCAAGCTTGGTATCTCCCACCGGCACAGTGGGAGGAGAGAGCCGGTTCTAGCAACTTGTCCTCAGCCTTCACATGTCCTCTGTGGCATAGGAACACACACACACACACACACACACACACACACGCGCGCGCGCACGCACATGCACATGCATGCACACACACACAATTAATGTAATAAAAAGTTTTTTAAAAACCTTTGCATAGTTAGCATCACGAAGCATTTCCTCTGTTTTCTTCAGGTGGATTTAGATTTTAGCCTCATATTTAAGCCTTTAATCCATTTTGGGATGATTTTTACGTGTGATGAAGACATGGATGTGATTGAATTCTTTCACATGTAGACATCCTATTTTTCTAGCAGCAGATATAGAGGAAATTGTCCTTTCCTGCACATATGTTCTTGGTATTTTGTGAAAATAGTCTGGCTATAGTTGTGCGTGTTTATTTCTGGGTTCTCTATTGTGTTTTTGATTTTTATGTGTGTATATGCCAGTATTACACTGTAATATGTGTAAAAAGTCAGTGGGGTAATATCTCCATGCTCACTCCTTTACTTGATTGTTTTGGTTGTTTTAAATGTCCTTTGTTAAAATGTGATATTTTTAGCACAATAAAAAAAAAATCGATTTTGGGTGTTTGTGTTTTTATTATTTTTATTTTCCATACTTAATGTACATGAATCACTTTTAAGATGTAATTTCAGATTCACTTAAAAATAATAAATTTCAGCCAGGTATGGCAGCCCATACTTTTAGTCCCAGCATTTGGGAGGCAGAGGTAGGTGGATCCCTGTGAAACTGAGGTCAACCTGATCTACAGAGTGAGTTCCAGGACAGCCAGAGCTACACAGAGACACCCTACTTTTAAAAAACAAAAAATATTGAAATAAATAAATGGAAAATAAATTTCCTTTATAAAAAAACCTACTAAAGAAACGTGCTAATTTATTTTCCATGTTTCCCGATTGAGAAATGGTCAAGCATATGTGTAACAAGGTCAGAGAAATGGTTCCTATAACGCAGAGGCTGAAGTACTTTTGTAAGCCCTTGGGTGGTCTAGCTGGATTTCTAGGTTGCTATAACAATCTCTTATGTCATGAGATTCCTTACCCAGGTTGTGCAATGCAGCCATTACAACCAAACGAACCTGTTGCTCAACAGCTTCAGTCCTGTTTCCTCTTCATCCAAATCAAGTTTTTTCCATGCAAACATGGTGTAATAGATTCTTTAAAACCACCTAAGAGAAGGGCTGTGAAAGTTTCTGCAGACTTGCTGATTATAAAGAGAAAAGAACTACTTTGAAAATACACCATGAGCCGTTGGGGGCTCAGAAGTCTTTATTATCTCGATAAAATCCAGGTCCGGCCAACAGTCGGTGACATCAGGTACAGTTGTTTCTTTGTACAGACGGCTCTCTCTTTTCTACCCACACAGCTTCCCGCAGACTCCTTCACGAGTCACGCTGGGATTATGCCGCAGGTCCTAGGCGTGGTACACGTCCCAGCACAGAGCTGGAGGAGATGCTGCAGCTTCCTGCCAGCTCAAGGCTGTGCTGGCCGTTTCTGTTGGAGCCGGTGGTCTTTGCTGCTGTTTGCTTAGCTTTTGTTTTTACTGTGGGACCAAAGGTGGGACAGGAAGAGCAGGTGTATGAACATTCCAACAAGGGACTGGTGTGAGTACTAGTTTGACTGTTTCATATTGTCATAGTTTCAAAACAATGAACTCGACAATCAGCCATCTATTCCCTTTGAGTAGGTGAGTTTTGTTGTTGTTGTTGTCGCTTATAGTCTGCAGAAGAGGGTTCATTTTGAGAAGAGTGTGGACACAGCTAACTTGGAAGTCAGTTTCAGTTTCTACTTAATGCATTCATTTGTCAACTTAGTTCTGAAAAGCAAAGCAAAATGATATCAAGCATGACCTTGAACTTCTGACCCTTCTGCCTCAAGCTCTTCAGGGCTGAGGTTACAGGTGTGCACCCCAACACTCTGTGGGACTTGAACCCAGGGCCTGGAGCATGCTAGGCAACCATTCTACCAATTGAGTTACACCCCAGCTTATTTCCCCTTTTTTTGTATCTGAACATACTGAACAAAGAGTTCATGAATGCAAAGGAGGGTTTTGCTTTTATACCTACTTTTAGTCTTTGTCCACAATTAAGCAAACACACACACAAGTATATTAAACACATGGATTTCTGAAGATCCACTGTGTGCAAGTCATTATTTTAGTACCAAAGACACAAAAGTTAAGCTACCTCTTTTTTTGAGAATAAATACATACATACATACATACATGCATGCATGCACGCACGCATACATACATTTGGATGATAAAAAGCCATATTCAAGATTAAAACAGATACAAAGTGTAACTGGATAGTGGATTATGCCAAAGAGAGAGGAATGTAGTAGTATTTACTCAGGTTCTTGAAGGATGGCTGGGGAGTCTCTCAGTGGTTCTTACCCAATGGGACTAGGTATTCTAACCCCAGAGAACAGAGATTGCAAAGGCGTGAAGGCCTGAAGCGTAAAATAATCCCGAAAATGGCTGGGAATCGCTGGCATTTACGGCAGAGATTGCGCATAACAACATCCATGCTGTGGATGGCTCTCTTACCTGCTGCTCGCCTTCTCCTTAGTTCCGTTCCTGCTTCTGCTTCCAGGCCTCAGAACTCCTTCTCACGCTAGTGTCTCCTGCCGTTGACTGATTGCTCACCTCTTGGTCGGCTCTGTGCAGCTACCGTCTGTGTTTCAGAGATTCCCTGAGGTCACGGGGTTGGGTGGGTTTGGGAGCGCAGGGTCCGATCGATGTCGGGGGGGTGTCGGAGCAGCCTTCCTGCAGTAGGCTTGCCGGCTGGCTGACTGTCTCTGGCCGGTGAATGGATGATTTCTCACCTGCTTTACAGCTTGATCTCGCTCAGGATGCAGCTGGAGCCTCTGTGTGCGTCGTTCCCCAAACAAACCTCTGCTGCCCAGTCTGATCGCTCCCGCTGTTCACTGAAGTCTTCACGACTGTTTCCAAACGACATCTATCCTTGAAGAGTGAGGGAGCGCCATGATTTGGAATGCTTAAAGTCCTGAAAGTAGCCCTGAGGTGGATTTTGACAAGGCTGACTTTTAAGATGATTTTTAAGATGATCTTTGAGGGCTGGAGGGATGGTTAGGTAGCTCAGAGTGTTTGTCAGTCTTGCAGAGGACCTGGGTTTGATTTCCAGCACCTACATGGTAGTTTATAAACCATGTATAACTCCAGTTCCAGGGGACCTGACGCCCTCTTCTGACCTCTTCGGGCATCAAGCACATACACAATGCATATCCATACATGGAGGCAAACACTTATGCACATAATATTAGTTAAATCTTTAAAATTAAAAAAGGTTTTTTTTAAAAAGAGAACACTCCTTCTGATGTACAAATTCTGCTGTGTTTAAAAATAAACCACCTGCTGTACCACATGTCTACGGTTGCATATGACTGGGAGGTTGAGGTAGGAGGCTCATTTGAGCCCAGGTGTTTGGCGCCACGATTCATTACATCTCTTGAGGTCAGGACGGAGTGATTGGTAGTGGGAGCATGCCTGTGAACAACCATAAACGGTAGCCTGGGCTACACAGAGAGACCCGTTCTTAAAAAACAAATTCACACTGTTAACTTTTTAGGTGTGATAATGGCATTTTGGCTACGATTTTTAAAAAGCCATTCTTTGAAGAGCTATGTGCTATAATAATAAGGATAAAATTACGTGGGGTTTCTTTTAAAGTCATCCAGTGAGAGGAGGGGAGTAGTATGGGGATTATGGACCAAACAATATTACTTGCATGTTGGAAGTTACATGGGGTTCATTATACCAGGCTATTTTTGCATATGTTTGAAACATTCAACAATAAAAAAGTAAAACAAGTTTGCGTTATACTGACACTTCAGTTTGTACTCGAAGTTGAGAAAGGAATAATTGCTTTCACGAATATAAAGACAGACTACATTTAAAAATATTTCTTTGATTTTCAAGATTGTAACTACCATTATTTTCCCATTCCATTTCCCCTCAGTACCCTCCTGTATCCCTCTTCTTGCTCTCTTTCAAATTCATGACCTCTTCCATTAATTGTTGCGACACGCATGTACGTGTTTGTACATATAGTCCCAAATATAGCCTGATAAGTTTGTATGATGTTCCACATGTGTAATTTTTAGAGCTGACGATTTGGCATTGGATAACCAACCGGTGTTCTCTTCCCCGGGGAAAACAGTTTCTCCCATTCTCCGCGCCCCTTAGCTGCCTGTAGTTATTTGTTAAGGACGGAGATTTGTTCTCTTTCTCTCATCTACTTTGGCATGTCTATTGCTCTTCTTGTTCAGCCCGTGTTTAGGCAATCATGCTGGTGAGACTTTATCGGGAGACACAGCCTCATAGCAAACTTCCTGTTCCTTTTTCTGCAAGGTTCCCTGAGCTTTAGATGCAAGAATTATTTTTTAGATATATTCACGGGGACGGGGCTCTCCAACCCTGCATTTTGATTGGTTGTGCTTTTCTGTATGGTCTCCATTTTGCTGCAAAGAGAAGTTTCCTTGAAGGGGGTGAGGGCTGCACTTCTCTGGGTGAAGAGCAAATATTTAGAGTGTAGTTAGGGATTGTGCTGGTTGGGAAAGCGGTGGTACAGGTTACCTTCCACGACCTGGGTAGCTGGCTAGGCTTCCTGCACCAGGCCCGATTTTTCTCTTGTTGGGCAGGTCTGATGTCCAATTATGGAGCTGTTGGTTATACACAGGATATGTGTGACACTATTTTACCTTTAGGGTTACTGTGCCATGTTGATTGTTGTGGTGGTTCACAGGTATCATAGCTGGTTGGTTGCTTCTCTCCTTCAGAAACTTGCATGGTATCTTCTGCTGCCATGAAAGCTAGTTTCAGGAAGGTCAGCTCCAGCTGAGGGCCCTCTGACACACTGTATTTTTTTTTAACCTGTTGCCTTTTATTTTGATGTAGGCTCTTTATTTTTGTTATACAAAGATAACTTAATTTAAAGTGCATTTTTAAAATATCATAATGAAACCAATTGCTTTTTATAATAACTTAGAAATAAAATGTTTTCTATTGTTTTTTATTAAGTTCTATATTTTCCTCTGCTCCCCTCCCTTCCTACCCTCTCCCATGATCCTCACACTCCCAATTTACTCAGGAGATCTTGTCTTTATCTACTTCCATGTAGATTAGATCCATGTATGTCTCTCTTAGGGTCCACTAAGTTCTATAGGTTCTATGGGGTTGTGAATTGTAGACTGGTTCTTCTTTGCTTTATGTCTAAAAACCACTTAAGAGTGAGTAAATATTGTATTTGTCTTCCTGAGTCTGGGTTACCTCACTCAATATGATGCTTTCTAGCTCCATCCATTTGCCTGCAGATTTCAAGATGTCATTATTTTTTTTCACTGTGCAGTACTTCATTGTGTAAATGTACCACGTTTTCCTTATTCATTCTTCAGTCAAGGGACATTTAGGTTGTTTTCAGGTTCTGGCTATGACAAATATTGCTGCTATGAATATAGCTGAGCACATGTTCTTATGGTATGATTGAACATCCTTTGGGTATATACCCAAAAGTGGTATTGCTGGGTCTTGAGGAAGGTTGTTTCCTAATTTTCTAAGAAATCACCATACTGGTTTCCAAAGCAGCTGTACCAGTTTGCACTACCACCAGCAATGCAGGAGTGTTCCCTTTACCCCACATCCTCTCCAGCATAAGCTGTCATCAGTGTTTTTGATCTTGGCCATTCTGACAGGTTTAAGATGGAAGCTCAGAGTTGTTTTGATTTGTATTTTTCTGATGGCTAAAGATGTTGAGCATTCCCTTAATTATCTTTAAGTCATTTTAGATTCCTCTGTTGAGAGTTCTCTGTTTATGTCTGTACCCCATTATTTTATTGGATTATTTGTTCTTTTGATTACCAGTTTCTTGAGTTCCTTGTATATTTCGGAAATTAACCCTCTGTCTGATGTGGGGTTGGTAAAGATCTTTTCCCATTCTGTAGGCTGCCATTTTGTCTTGTTGACTGTGTCCTTTGCTTTACAAAAGCTTATCTGTTTCACGAGGTCCCATTTATTAATTGTTGCTTTCAGTGTCTGTGCTTCTAGGGTTCTCTTTAGGAAGTGGTCTCCTGTGCCAATGTGTTCAAGTGTACTTCCCATTTTCTCTTCTATAAGGTTCAGTGTGGTTGGTTTTATGTTGAGGTCTTTGATCCATTTGGACTCGAGTTTTGTTCATAGGGATAGATATGGGCCTATTTGTATTCTTCTACATGCTGATATCCAGTTATGCAAGCACCATTTGTTGAATATGCTTTCTTTTTCCATTTGATATTTTTTGCCTCTTTGTCAAAAATCAGGTGTTCATGGGTGTGTAGATTAATATCTGGTCTTCAGTTTGATTTCATTGGTCCTCCTGTCTGTTTTTATACCAATACAGGCTGTTTTCATTACTGTAGCTCTGTAGTAGAGTTTGAAGTCAGGGATTGTGATGCCTTCAGAAGTTATTTTATTATACAGGATTGTTTTGGCTATCCTGTTTTTTTTGTTTTTGTTTTTATTTTTTATTTTTTTTGCTTTTCCATGTGAAGTTGAGTGTTGTTCTTTTGAGGTCAGAAGATTTTTTCTGGGATTTTGATGGGCATTGCGTGAACCTGTAGATTGTTTTTGGTAAGACTGCCATTTTTACTATGTTAATTCTACCTACCTTAGAGCATGGGAGATTTTTCTATTTTCTGTTGTCTTCTTTAGTTTCTTTCATCAAAGATTTAAAGTTCTTGTCATACAGGTCTTCTATTTTTTTTGTTAGAGTTATCCCAAGATATTTTATGTTATTTGTGGCTCTTATGAAGGGTGGTATTTCTCTGATTTCTTTCTCAGTCCATGTGTCATCTGTGTAAAGAAGGGCTACTGATTTTTTCGAGTTAATCTTGTATCTTGCTACATTACTGAAAGTGTTTATGAGTTGTAGAAGTTCCTTGGTGGAATTTTTGGGGTCGATTACGTAAACTATCATATCATCAGTAAATAATGAGAGTTTGACTTCTTCTTTTCGGATTTGTGTCCCCTTGATCTTCTTTTGTTGTCTTATTGCTCTAGCTATAGCCTCAAATACTGTATTGAATAGATTTGTAGAGAGTGGACAATCTTGTCTT